ATATACGTCTACTGCCTGAAAGTTTATATGTCAAAATGTGGTTTAAAATTTTCCTGAGCCAAAACTTTCTGCATCAATATGCCTTTTGAACATTTCTAAGTCGGTCCATGACGAAAAAACTTTTTCGATCTGCTCGAAATTGTCTAAGTCTCAAACTTTAGTTGACTCAAGATTGATCCCACGGGTAACGGGTAAGCGTAATAGTATTTATAATGATCGGACGGGTAAGGATTCATTTGCATATACGTATACTGTCTGAAAGTTTATATGTCAAAATGTGCTTCAAAATTTTCCTGAGCGAAAACTTTCTTCATCATTATGCCTTTTGGACATTTCTAAGTCGGTGCATGACGAAAAAGTTTATTCGATCAGCTCGAAATTTTCTAAGTCCCAAACTTTAGTTGACTCAAGATTGATCCCACGGGTAACGGGTAAGCGTAATACTATTTATAATGTAGGACGGGTAAGGATTCATTGGCATATATACGTATACTGTCTGAAAGTTTATATGTCAAAATGTGCTTCAAAATTTTCCTGAGCCGAAAACTTTCTTCATCATTATGCCTTTTGGACATTTCTAAGTCGGTCCAAGACGAAAAAGTTTATTCGATCAGCTCGAAATTTTCTAAGTTCCAAACTTTAGTTGACTCAAGATTGATCCCACGGGTAACGGGTAAGCGTAATACTATTTATAATGTAGGACGGGTAAGGATTCATTTGCATATACGTATACTGTCTGAAAGTTTATATGTCAAAATGTGCTTCAAAATTTTCCTGAGCCAAAACTTTCTTCATCATTATGCCTTTTGGACATTTCTAAGTCGGTCCATGACGAAAAATTTATTCGATCAGCTCGAAATTTTCTAAGTTCCAAACTTTGGTTGACTCAAGATTGATCCCACGGGTAACGGGTAAGCGTAATACTATTTATAATGTAGGACGGGTAAGGATTCATTTGCATATACGTATACTGTCTGAAAGTTTATATTTCAAAATGTGCTTCAAAATTTTCCTGAGCCAAAACTTTCTTCATCATTATGCCTTTTGGACATTTCTAAGTCGGTCCAAGACGAAAAAGTTTATTCGATCAGCTCAAAATTTTCTAAGTCCCAAACTTTAGTTGACTCAAGATTGATCCCAAGGGTAACGGGTAAGCGTAATAGTATTTATAATGTAGGACGGGTAAGGATTCATTTGCATATAAGTATCATGTCTGAAAGTTTATATGTCAAAATGTTTATATGTTATACACTCTCTACATTATAAATGCAGTTTTTTTTGTAAGAATGCTGTTGCATGAGTTTTGTGTTATTTCGTTACCCGCATACCTAATGCGCACGCGCCGGGTTAATGCGTCCCACAAGTCTTCCATCAACGGAATCGCAGCTGTATATACACGGAACCCGCACCATGTAGTAATGTGTGGAAGGCGATGTATTCCGGAATCTTGCGAAAAGGGTGTCGGCACAATGGTTTGGGGACCGCCAGCACTCTCCCCCATAGTTCGTTAAGATTCCGTATGGTATATATCATCATGTCTGGCGGCTAACACGAGAGAACTCCCGTTCTCGTCGTGAATGTTAGCTGGAAATTTTTATTTATTTCTATTAATTTTTATTTACACACATATAAGATATATCTTTGCAACAGCAAAAAATTTTCTTACAAAAATTGTCAACCTTTCACCATGTAAAACATGTCCAGCACGTTTTTTATATAGATATATTTCTGTATATTTAGAAAATTTCGAGCAGACACTGAAAAAATTTTCTCTCAAACGGATGAATATACGAGCGTGCTCATGAGCATACTGGATGTTAAGGATGCTAGATTTCCGCATACCCTGCAGTAGCCTCGGCGATTTGTCGCGATGAATTAAGGATATGGGATTTCGGCATACCTTGTAGCTAGCCACTGTTTGTGATGGCTATATGAAAAAGCAGTATGTGGCCCTTTAGCTGCAGTACTAGTATAGTTGAGAAATCCGGGTAACGCGGAGCGAAGAACAATCTAAAAAAAAACGTATAAGCCTACTGATTAAGACGGATCTGCAAGTCTGTAAGTCAAAATGTGCTTTAAAATTCCCCTGAACCAAGATTTTCTCCATCAATATGCCTTTTGAATCTTTTTAGGTTGATCTATGTCTATGACGAAAAAACTCGGATGTTCCAATCAGTACGAAATTTAGTTGACTCGAGAATCCCGGATAACGGATAAGGTTAGTATAACTTATTATGAAGGGCGGATAACGAACATTTGCACTAGTCATCTCAAATTTGAAAATGTGTTCTAAAATTCTCCTGAGCCAAAACTTTCTGCATCATAATGTGTTTTGAACATTTCTAAGTCGGTCGATGACGAAAAAACTTTTTCGATCAGCTCGAAATTTTCTAAGTCTCAAACTTTAGTCGACTCAAGATTGATCCCACGGGTAACGGGAAAGCGTCATAGTATTTATAATGATCGGACGGATAAGGATTCATTTGCATATACGTATACTGTAGGAAAGTTTATATGTCAAAATGTTTATATGTTATACAGTGTCTATGTTATAAATCTAGTTTTTTTATAAGAATGCTTTTGCATGAGTATTGTGTTATTTCGTTACCCGCATACCCAATGCGCACGCGCTGGGTTATTGCGTCCCACAAGCCTTCCATCAACGGAGTCGCAACTGTATATACACGGAACCCGTACCATGTAATAATGTGTGGAAGGCGATATATTCCAGAATCTTGCGAAAAGGGTGTTGGCACATAATGGTTTGGGCGCCGCCTGCACTCTCCCCCGTAGTTCGTTAAGATTCAGTATGGTATATATCACCATGTCTGCAGTGTGGATTATAACGGTCGGCAATCGGCTATTTGCCGAACAAAAACACCAAATGGCCGATCAATTTCATTCTGCACGGACATTTTGTCCGATCAAATAAAATACACCACACTGTTCATCTAAATTGAAGGTAGTTTATGTGAAAAGTACTGTTTGAAAAGCATCTAACTATGCCTACGATACCATGCAATCAATAAATATTTGGATGAAAAAATCACTCAGAGGAAACATTGTCATTGAGCTTCTCTTTTAGCAAATACCCTCTCAAGTGACCGAATCTCGATATAGTTACAGTCCATAGCCGGCGGCGTTTACAATACTTACAAAAATATGTTTCATTTCTATAAGCCGTAGGCCTAGCTATATATTAGTAAATACCTTTATTTCCTAAAGAAACACAAACAAAGTGAAGGCGCGGAGGACGTTGCTAGTTGGCGTACGCCAAGCTTTTTTCTGCATGCAAATGTGCAATCAATAATGGTACGTCGATCTGTAGCACTGTCACGTAAAAATGGTTGAAATAGTTGGCTGATCATTCTTGACCAATGTCCGAGCAACAGTCTCGTTAATCGGACATTTGTCAGACCTAAGCAAAAACGTTATAATGCACGCTGCATGTCTGGCGGCTAACACGAGACAACTCCCGTTCTCGTCGTGAACGTTAGCTGGAAATTTTTATTTATTTCTATTAATTTTTATTTACACACATATAAGATATATGTTTTCAACAGCAAAAATTTTCCTTTCAAAAAACCATGTAAAACATGTCCAGCACGTTTTTTATATACATATATTTCTGTATATTTAGAAAATTTCGAGCAGACAGTGAAAAATTTTCTCACAAACAGACGAATATACGAGCGTGCTCCATGAGCATATTGGATGATAAGGATGCTAGATTTCCGCATACCCTGAAGTAGCCTCGGCGATTTGTCGCGATGAATTAAGGATATGGGATTTCGGCATACCTTGTAGCTAGCCACTGTTTGTGATGGCTATATGAAAAAGCAGTATGTGGCCCTTTAATTAGCTGCAGTACTAGTATAGTTGAGAAATCCGGGTAACGCGGAGCGAAGAACAATCTAAAAAAAAACGTGTAAGCCTACTGATTAAGACGGATCAACAAGTCTGTAAGTCAAAATGTACTTTAACATTCCCCTGAACCAAGATTTTCTCCATCAATATGCGTTTTGAATCTTTTTAGGTTGATCTATCTATCTATCGGCTCGAAATTTTCTAAGTCTCAAACTTTAGTTGACTCAAGACTGATCCGAGTAACGTTAAGCGTAATATTATTTATAATTATCGGACGGGTAAGGATTCATTTGCATATACGTATACTGTATGAAAGTTGATATGTCAAAATGTTCTTTAAAATTTTTCTGAGCCAAAACTTTCTTCATCCTTATGCCTTTTGAACATTTCTAAGTCGGTCCACGACGAAATAATTTTTTCGATCAGCCCGATATTTTCTAATTCTCAAACTTTAGTTGACTCAAGATTGATCCCACGGGTAACGGGAAAGCGTCATAGTATTTATAATGATCGGACGGATAAGGATTCATTTGCATATACGTATACTGTAGGAAAGTTTATATGTCAAAATGTTTATATGTTATACAGTGTCTATGTTATAAATCTAGTTTTTTTATAAGAATGCTTTTGCATGAGTATTGTGTTATTTCGTTACCCGCATACCCAATGCGCACGCGCTGGGTTATTGCGTCCCACAAGCCTTCCATCAACGGAGTCGCAACTGTATATACACGGAACCCGTACCATGTAATAATGTGTGGAAGGCGATATATTCCAGAATCTTGCGAAAAGGGTGTTGGCACATAATGGTTTGGGCGCCGCCTGCACTCTCCCCCGTAGTTCGTTAAGATTCAGTATGGTATATATCACCATGTCTGCAGTGTGGATTATAACGGTCGGCAATCGGCTATTTGCCGAACAAAAACACCAAATGGCCGATCAATTTCATTCTGCACGGACATTTTGTCCGATCAAATAAAATACACCACACTGTTCATCTAAATTGAAGGTAGTTTATGTGAAAAGTACTGTTTGAAAAGCATCTAACTATGCCTACGATACCATGCAATCAATAAATATTTGGATGAAAAAATCACTCAGAGGAAACATTGTCATTGAGCTTCTCTTTTAGCAAATACCCTCTCAAGTGACCGAATCTCGATAGTTACAGTCCATAGCCGGCGGCGTTTACAATACTACTTACAAAAATATGTTTCATTTCTATAAGCCGTAAGCCTAGCTATATATTAGTAAATACCTTTATTTCCTAAAGAAACACAAACAAAGTGAAGGCGCGGAGGACGTTGCTAGTTGGCGTACGCCAAGCTTTTTTCTGCATGCAAATGTGCAATCAATAATGGTACGTCGATCTGTAGCACTGTCACGTAAAAATGGTTGAAATAGTTGGCTGATCATTCTTGACCAATGTCCGAGCAACAGTCTCGTTAATCGGACATTTGTCAGACCTAAGCAAAAACGTTATAATGCACGCTGCATGTCTGGCGGCTAACACGAGACAACTCCCGTTCTCGTCGTGAACGTTAGCTGGAAATTTTTATTTATTTCTATTAATTTTTATTTACACACATATAAGATATATGTTTTCAACAGCAAAAATTTTCCTTTCAAAAAACCATGTAAAACATGTCCAGCACGTTTTTTATATACATATATTTCTGTATATTTAGAAAATTTCGAGCAGACAGTGAAAAATTTTCTCACAAACAGACGAATATACGAGCGTGCTCCATGAGCATACTGGATGGTAAGGATGCTAGGTTTCCGCATACCCTGAAGTAGCCTCGGCGATTTGTCGCGATGAATTAAGGATATGGGATTTCGGCATACCTTGTAGCTAGCCACTGTTTGTGATGGCTATATGAAAAAGCAGTATGTGGCCCTTTAATTAGCTGCAGTACTAGTATAGTTGAGAAATCCGGGTAACGCGGAGCGAAGAACAATCTAAAAAAAAAACGTGTAAGCTTACTGATTAAGACGGATCAACAAGTCTGTAAGTCAAAATGTACTTTAAAATTCCCCTGAACCAAGATTTTCTCCATCAATATGCGTTTTGAATCTTTTTAGGTTGATCTATGTCTATGACGAAAAAGCTCGGATGTTCCATCAGTACGAAATTTAGTTGACTCGAGAATCCCGGATAACGGATAAGGTTAGTATAACTTATTATCAAGGACGGACACGGATAACGAACATTTGCACTAGTCATCTCAAATTTGAAAATGTGTTTTAAAATTCTCCTGAGCCATAACTATCTTCATCAATATGCGTTTTGAATCTTTCTCGGTCGATCTATGTCCAGTATGACAAAAACAATTTTCCATCAGTCCGAAATTTAATTGACTCGAGAATCCCGGATAACGGATAAGGTTAGTATAATTTATTATGAAGGACGGATAACGAACATTTGCATAACTCATATCAAATTTGAAAATGTCCTGTAAAATTCTCCTGAGCCATAACTATCTGCATCAATATGCGTTTTGAATCTTTCTAGGTCGATCTATGTCGAGTATGACAAAAATTTTTTTTCCATTGGTCCGAAATTTACTTGAATCGAGAATCCCGGGAAACGGATGAGGTTAGTATAATTTATTATGAAGGACGGATAACGAACATTTGCATAAGTCATCTTAAATTTGAAAATGTGTTCTAAAATTCTCCTGAGCCATAACTATCTGCATCAATATGTGTTTTGAATCTTCCTAGATCGATCTATGTCCAGTATGACAAAAAAAATTTTCCATCAGTCCGAAATTTAGTTGACTCGAGAACTGACGAACTGAAATTCTTGTGAAATTAAAAACAATACTAGATTGTTGTGACCTGCTTATCTCATGCAGTGAAGAAGATTCTATAAGTCGGTGAATGCGGTGAAAGGATACAATATGAAGTCAATACAGAATGTTTAGCTGGATTTCTTCGGGCCAAGTTCAAAATAGCAATATTCTCTTCTACTTGTAAACCGATTTCTCACAAGTGTAAAACGAATAAGAAATAGCCAGAATAAATAAAGGAAAAAAATATTGGGAGTCCGCTACAAAATATGAGTTCAACTGGATTTTAACTCAAACGTTTATCGAGACAGCCCAAACGACCTAGCACTAAGCCACCAGGGGACGAACGGAATTTCATGTGAAATTAAAAACAATAGTAGATTGTTGTGAAGATTGTGGTGAAGAAGATTCTACAATGATTCAATATGAAGTCAATACAGAATGATTAGCTGGATTTCTTCGGGCCAGGTTCAACATAGCAATATTTTCTACTACTTGCAAAGCGATTTCTCACATAGAACTATAAAAAGAATAAAAAATAGCCAGAATTAATAAAGGAAAAAAATATTGGGAGTCCGCTACGAAATATGAGTTCAACGGGATTTGAACCCAAACGTTAATCGAGACAGGCCAAAAGACCTACCACTATGCCACCAGTGGACGATCTGAAATTCTTGTGAAATTAAAGACAATAGTTGTTCAGACTGATTTGAATATTCATATTTCATTTATTATGCGAAATACGAACGCGTACGGGGTCCCGGGGAAAAGCCCCGAAGATTCCCGGATGAAAGTGTGCTCGAGAGACAAAAATATAGTTTTTAGTGTGTTTTGGTTTGGAATATATTCATGTTTCTTTATAAAGTTTTGGTACTTTTCTTGGTTTAATGTTAATTATTGTTGCCCCAGTCGTTAGTTGGGATGGCCCTAAGCTGGTGGTAACATTAAATGGTCCTTCTACGTCGGATTGAATTGGTATAGTGGAATTATTTGTATGATATAAATATGTCTGTTCATGGTTCTGAAGCAAATCGTGTGGTTGAAAGTGAATTTGGTAGCGTTTCGTTGGAAGAAACACGTATTCGAAGTAAAAGATCGGTAGTTAAGAGGAGAATAACTACAACTTTACGTAAATTGGAGGGACTTGTGGCGAAATTTGGTAGCAAAACAATAATAAAAGGGTATGTGAATAATTTATCTGAATATTTAAAAGAAGCTGAGGCACTTAATACTCAACTTCTCACTCTGGTACATGAAAGTGAGCATGAAGCTGTTTTAATTTGGTATGAAGAACAATTAGAAAGAGTCAATGATGCCAAATTAGAGGCTGAAAGTCATCTTGAGGGGCGCTTACATGAAGTATCCTCAGTCGCAGGAACATTTCCTGGCATGCAAGAAAGTGCGCAAATACCGAATTTAATTAGCTCAAAATCTGTAATGACATGTAGTTCAAAATCAAGTGGAAAAGGAGCTGAAGTTCGTGCGAAAGCCTTTGCCGCAGAGTTAAAAGCTAAACAATTAATGGAAGAAGAAGAGAAAAGAAAACAAGAGTTGGAAAAACAATTAGAACTTGAAAAAATGTAGCTATGGCTAAAGAAATAGCTGAAAGAGCAAAACTCGAGGCTGAAGAAAGACGAAAGGTCCAGCAAGCGAAGGATGAATGGATGCGTCTAAGGGCGGAAGCAGAGATCCTGGAAAATGAAGAGGACAACCCAGAAAGTTTGTCAAACAGACTACGTGACTTTGAAAATGAGACAAATGATAAAGAACAACCTCCAACAGTACATCAACAAAGTCCTCTGAGGATTATAACAGAAAAATCAGCACCAGTGAAAGTTCCTGAAAATACTACTCATAAGGGAACATTAAACAGTCAAGTTGGTCAGAAACTTCCTAGTGGAAATAGTGTACCAAGTATATATGTTCAACCCAGCTCTAATAATCTGCCAAGATTAAAATTAACCACTTTTGATGGGGACTCTCTTAAGTGGCCTGATTGGTCTTCTATGTTTAAATCAATGGTTGGTGATGCAAACATATCCCTAAATGCCAAAATGCAACATTTACAGAACTCAGTTACGGGTAAAGCTAAGACTTCAATCGAGGGGTATGGCTATAGTGGTGATTCATATAACAAAGCAATGTCTGAGCTGGAATCCAGATTTGGTAAACCATCATTAGTCATCAAAGCCACTCTTGGTAAGTTGAGAACCTTCAATCGCTTACAAGATAATGATCCAGAAAGTGTTCGGAGCTACTCTGATGTTGTGTCAACTACTGTATGGACGCTGTCAAGATTTGGTTATGTGAGTGATCTTAATGCGGAAGCAAACCTGTCGTTGGCTACATACAAGTTATCAAATGAACTGCTACTAAAATGGAAAGAACATGTCAAGGATGGCAAACTAGACCGTCCAAACTTGAGCCAGTTTTCAGATTGGCTCAAAGGGCAAGCTGATATTTATGATGAGTGTGCAAGGTCATCAAAGAAGAATTTCAAGAGCAAATACCAAAAGCAGTATGGCCCATCAAATAGAGGAGAAAATCAAACTGTATTATCATGCATAATGTTGGATGGAAGTAAACATAGCCTTAGTGAATGTGCGAAGTTCAAGAGTTTATCTGTCGAAGACCGACTTGTGGAAGTTAGGAAACATCGACTATGTTTTTGCTGTTTAAGTAAGGAACATTGGTCAAACAAATGTCCTGTAAGAAAGCAGTGTCAAATAAATGGATGCAAAGGATATCATCACAGTCTTTTACACAGAATGGAAAATAAGGAACCTGGCTCTGGAAATAAACCACCTGAAAGAGAAGAGAACATTGGAGCAACGTTTGAAAGTAAACAATGTTCGCAGGTCAAAAGGGGTATGCCGGTCTTACTCCAGGTTATACCTGTCACTGTACATGGTCCAAATGGATATTTGAACACCCATGCAATGCTGGACAGTGGTAGTACATGCAGTTTGGTCTTATCTAGTGTTGCTGAAAAGCTTGGTTTGGAAGGTTCAGAGGAACGAATTATATTGAATGGAATTCAGGGAACTTCTGAACTGAATTCGAGACGAGTTAATACTCAAGTAAGTGCAGTCAATATGGTGACACCACGTTTTGATGTGAACGGAGCATTGGTTGTTGAGCACTTGAATATTGCCCAGCAGAAGGTGAACTTGGTGGATGTAAAGTCTAAATGGCCGCATCTAAAGGAAATAGACATACCGGAAGCGAGTAGTTGTGATGTTTCGTTGCTTATTGGTAGTGACTGTCTAGACATTATCTTACCCATTGAGACACGATGTGGTCCTAGAGGAACTCCAGTTGGAATTCGTACAAAGCTTGGTTGGACGATAACTGGACCTCTTCCGGGTTATATTCGGACATCCGAGGGTATCTTCCATGCTTATGTTCGTTCACCTGATGAAGAGCTTCACAACCAAGTAAAGTTGTGGTGGCGTACTGAGGAATTTGGATGCAAGTATGACGTGGAAACCCAAAGGTCGGTTGAAGATGAGAATGCAATGCGGATCCTGGAAGAGACAACAAAGAAAGTCGATGGTAGATATGAAGTTCCACTCCTCTGGAAGAATGGTGGATCTATGCAGAATAATCGAACAGTAGCTGAACATCGCCTTGCATTGTTGGAAAGGCGATTACAACGTGATCCGAACCTCGCTGAAGCATACAAAGAGACTATCCATAGGGACCTGGAGAAAGGATATGTTAAAAGGATTGTTCTTAATGAAGGTGCTATTGAAGAGAAGCAATGGTATTTACCGCATCATCCGGTTTTGAATCCAAATAAGCCTGGAAAGGTTAGACGAGTTTGCGATGCTGCTTGTAGATATCAAGGATCCTCACTTAACGATCATCTTATAACTGGTCCTGATCTACTTAATTCCTTAACGGGAATTTTTATGAGATTCCGTGAAGAAAAGATTGCATTATCAGCGGACATTGAAGCAATGTTTAGTCAAGTCGCTGTGCCGAAAGAGGATCAAACGGTACTACGTTTCTTGTGGCGTGATTCTACTGACTCGGACACAGAAACTTACCAATATCAAAGGCATATATTCGGAGCTAAGTGTGCTCCTACCTGCGCTAATTATGCACTTTGTCGAAATGCCAAGGATAACGAACACGAATTTCCTGATGCAGCCGCTGCTGTTGAACGTAATTTCTACATGGACGACTTCTTTAAGTCTGTTGATTCGGTAACGAGAGCTATTAAGCTTTGCAATGAATTGGTTGAGCTGTGCCAGAGGGGAAAGTTTCGTCTAACAAAGTGGATTTCCAACGATCGTCGTGTAATTGAGAAGGTACCGGAAACCGAACGAGCTGTATCTGTTAAGACAATGAAC